GATATTGGCTATTTTTTGGTTGGTGCAAAAGGCTGTTTTGATATTGTGTTTATGTCTTTTCCAACACATGAAAGAAACAGGACACGAAATTAATTTTGCAGATTCCAAATTGCTCTCTAACATGGAACATCACCACAAGAGAATAATCATGGAAGCCATCGAGATAGAGAAACACCCTCACAACATGAACAAGCGTGACGACACATCCCGCCTGCCAGACATCTGGAAATTAGCCCTCCCCACAAAAACCGACACCAGATCCAGAGGCACACAGAACGCCATCACCAATCAACCACACCAGACCCAAACCCAGACCCTCTCCACAGATAAATTACAGACACCATCCAGTAGCCAAACCATGGTGGCACCTCCGGATGCTGCACCCCCCTGCAATCCCTACACAGATCTGGCTGGCACAGGACACAAAACCACAGCTCGCCCCTATACACGAAGCCAAGCCAGAGCACAACTAAATGCAATACAGCCATCTTCTCAGAAAAACTCTTCACAAAGTTCAAGAGGTCAAGACACGAAGGCTTTAGCAACTAATCCACACCTAATGACCCACCTAAGTGGTACTCAGGATATCACTCAAGAAATCACTCAAGATATCCCTCAAGTAATTAAGGAACAAAAGAAGAAAAGGCACACTAGCCTGGGAACTTCCTCTCTGCCCAGAACATTGGAGGCTATACACCACACCCCCTCAACAGTATTTATAGGAACTCAAACACTGAGATCCTGCTCTGTTCCAGTAACAAGAAGCCGAAAGCACCAGCCTGAAGATGACGAGTGAGACCTCGTCGAAACGTCGCCTAGACACCCCAACTTTTACACGGGAAGACACCCGAGGACACCAAAACCTGCATATATATATATATATATATATGCCAAGAAGGAAATGCAAGGTTAGTTTTAATGATAATCTCTGGCATTTGCAAACTTCACTTTTCACACATTGGGGCACATCTCCACACATATGACGACAGTGGGCAGTGTTATGTTCTGCAAACATACGTATAAGAACATAAGAGCCTGCTGGTGGTACAGCCAATGACCCATTCTGGTTCAGCATCCCATTCTCACAGAGACCAACCAGATGTCCATCGGAAGCCATAGGAAGATCACTCTCTCCTACTTGTGATTTCTGGAAACTGGTATTCAGAGGCTTATCGACTCAGACGGTGGAGACAGAAAATGGCTGTCATGGCTGGTAGCCATTTATAGCTTTATCCTCCGTGCCTGTGTCTAGAATTACTGCCCTTAAGTACAAGCCTACAAAGTAGGCGGAACTCCCAGTCAATTCTGAAAAAGCAGGATACTTGATCACACAAGGCTCTGCAATCGCCTTCAAGCTTATATATGCACCAGTGCATGGTGCAGACATGCATTTTAATGGATGAAATGTGGGGAAGGTGATTCTGTCACTGCCCACATTTCTCATGTTCATTGTATACATGAATAGAAAATTTATATCTCAGGAATTCTGTTCAACATAAATGAATCATTAAATGAATATGGAATGTAACAATTTGGTTTCTATACAGGGGAACTGATAATACTCTTGTTAATTATGCGCAACAGATAATCCAAGTTAGTTATGTCAAGGAAATAAGCATAATGCAGGGTACTCTCCTGACGATTTGAGTTCAGACTGTTATAAAATCTGTTGGCAGGTAACCTTTTGTAAATGCCCTTCCTTGAGGCTAAACATTTTTTACAGCAATGAATGAATTCCTAAGAACGAGTCCGAACTAGTGGAAGTGATTACGCAAAGGGCAAAAAAGTGATGTGCTGAAATTCCTAATTGCTATGGTAGTACAATGTATTGATCATGAATACCATTTACAAGTGTTTAGCATTCTCCGGTTACACTTTAGGACGCGGGTGGCGCTGTGGTGTAAACCACTGAGCCTTGGACTTGCCAATCAGAAGGTCAGTGGTTCGAATCTCCGCAATGGGGTGAGCTCCTGTTGTTCGGTCCCAGCTCCTGCCAACCTAGCAGTTTGAAAGCACGCCAGTGCAAGTAGATAAATAGGTACCCCTCCGGTGGGAAGGTAAACGGCGTTTCCGTGCGCCGCTCAGGTTCCACCAGAAGCGGCTTAGTCATGCTGGCCACATGACCTGGAAAAACTGTCTGCGGACAAACGTCGGCTCCCTCGGCCAGTAAAGCAAGATGAGCACCACAACCCCAGAGTCGTTTGCGACTGGACTTAACTGTCAGGGGTCCTTTACCTTTACCTTTACCTTTAGCATGTGTATAGTATACTTGCTTTACTTCTATATTTGCATCGATATTCACATTGGATGCCTTCTGTAGCACATTTTTGAAGCTTCATTGTATGCATTGTAACCAGGCATAGTGATTTTTTGGAACTGAGTAATTAAAGACAAATAGTGGATAAATAGTAGTTAGGAAAATGAATGAGAATCAAGATGAAGTGAAGCTGTAAATTCTGGAGACAGTATTGTTGAAACTTGAGATTATACCACTTTAAATGGTCAGAAAATAATCCCTTTCAAGTGCATTCTCAGAAGGAGTTAATAATTTTTTCTTTGGTATTTCACCCCTATGGGTGTAAACAGCTTTCAGGTATGTTTTTTGGTTGAACCTTTTTGTTTGGGCCACCTGTTATATCATCATAATTGGGCCCATGCATCAACCAATTTGTGTGGACCAAAATAGGGTAGTCAGTTTTCTAGAAGCTTGGGGAATACACTATGTGATTTTGCCCCACATAGGTAAGATTGCACACCAATAGACGTCATTCGGACTGGCTGAATGGGACTGGTGAAGGCAGAATTGACCTGCTGGCTCCATGCATAAGGCCAGGACAAAACCTGAAAATATTTCACAAACTAGCCCATTGTAGGATTAGGGGGCTTCCAGAGGGTCACTACTTTTGGGTGGGATTCAGACATCAGGAAATTCAAATTGCACAATTATAATTGATTGGGAGGACTTATGCAACAAACCCTCTTCCCTAAAGAACAGACTTTTTAAAATTAGGAATAAAAGGAAAAGGTAAAGGGACCCCTGACCATCAGGTCCAGTCGTGACCGACTCTGGAGTTGTGGCGCTCATTTCGCTTTATTGGCTGAGGGAGCCAGCGTACAGCTTCCGGGTCATGTGGCCAGCATGACTAAGCCGCTTCTGGCGAACCACAGCAGCGCACGGAAATGCCATTTACCTTCCCGCCAGAGCGGTACCTATTTATCTACTTGCACTGGTGTGCTTTCGAACTGCTAGGTTGGCAGGAGCAGGGACCGAGCAACGGGAGCTCACCCCGTCGCGGGGATTTGAACCTCCGACCTTCTGATCGGCAAGTCCTAGGCTCTGTGGTTTAACCCACAGCGCCACCCGCATCCCTAGCATCAGTCAAATGCAGTGGGAAGTGTGGGATAACACTTGCTTTGACACAACCTCTCCACAAACAAATCAGGAGGAAAGCTCAATAACCAAATTGTGTCCTCGCTCAGGGCGCCATATTACCAAGCTCCACCCCTGGAGAGTGCTCTTGGGCTCAAATCTGGCTTGCAAGTTTCCTACAGGCATCTGGTTGGCCACTGTGAGAACAGGATACTGACCCAGCTGGGCCACGGGCCTGATCCAGCAGACTCTGTGTGTGCCCTGAAGTGCATGGACCTGTCTATAGCACCCTGCAAAAAAATCCTTCTTCTTCTTAGCATTTGCATTGCTGATGTGAGAAGTACAAACAGTACAAACATGGGCACAGCCAGTGCTTTTCTTGTGGAAAAAAGGTGCCATTACTCACCGTGAAGTTGTTTCAGTAAGTGCCACACTTTTAACCACGGCTTTTCTTCTAGGAAAAAAAAGGTGTCACAGTCAGGTTGCCAGTTGCGTCACTGGAACGCGCCACAACATCATCCAAGTGACCTCAGTGTGCATTTCAATTTAAAATATAATTTCTGCTTTTCAGTTAAGCAAGATAGCTCAGTTGGTTAGTGTGGTGCTGATAATGCCAGACCCTCCAAGTGTTCCTGTTTTCCAGGGACAGTCCTGGATTTGCAGAAGCTCTCCTGGTTTCTGATTTCATGCCAGAATGTCCTGCATTCCCTATTATCGGAGAAATGTTGGATGGTAAGGTAGGACGCCCCTATTTTCATTGGAGAAATGTTGGGTGGTATGGAGTTATCTGACCCCCAAGCTGTCTGAAGGCAGCCCTGTATAAGGAAGTTTTAAAAAAATGTTTAATGTTTTGTTATGTTTAAATCTGCCCAGAGTAGCTGGGGCAACCCAGTCAGGTGGCTTGGTAATAACAAAAACAACACCATAATGGAATAGGACATCCCTATTTTCATCGAAGAAATGTTGGAGGGTATTCAATGCCAAGGTTGCAGGCTTGATCACCACATGGGACTTCTGCAAATTCTTGCTTTGCAGGGGGGTTGGACCAGAATTCAGTGGTTCCCAACTTGGGGCACACGGCCTACAAGGGGGGGGGGCAATTTTATTTTTAAGGGGGGCAATTCGAGAATGAGTTACAGGAGTTCACTTTTTGAATAATTAGAATTATATGTCAGGTGGGGGGAGGGGATCAGGATTTTAAAGATGCTTAGGTTAAGGCTACCAGATTTTTTTCCAAAGAATCCGTGGACACTTTAAAAAAAAAAAGAGAGAGGAAAAAAAGGTATTTTTTAAAAAAGTAACCATGGTTAGGTGGGGCATGGCAAAAAAGAAAAAAAAGGTTGGGAACTACTGGACTAGATGATCCTCACGATTCTATGATTCCAAGTATATTTATTTATTTACTTGATTGGGGGGGTTCAGCCCACGCCCACAAATAAAAATAAAAAAGCCACGGCGCGTGCCACAGAGATGAGGAGGGAAGTCCCCTTCCAGGAAACAAGCGGGCGACGGGCGACGATGCCCAGCCGCCTCTCTCCGGGCACTATTATTTTTCTTTTTTCCTCAGCTTGTGTGAGAAAAAGAGCGCCCTGAGGGCGAGGGAGGTTTGGCCTCAGGCCCTTGATTGACAGGCAGCTCCGAAGGGAGGGTGGGCCGGAGAAGGAACTGACTGCGAGAGTTAAGAAAGTCCTGCCCAGCTGTTTGCGAACTTTTTAAGATTTCCTGTTTCCTCTGCAAGGCAGGGCTGGAGCGGGGAAGGCGGGCGGGGGTGAGTCACACACGCCCTCCGCGCAAGCAGCCGAGAGCCGCGGCTGCTGCGGCTGCTGCTGCCTCTGCCGGGGCCTCGCTCGCTCGCTCGCCCGCTTTCCGCCTCGAGGGACCCGCCTTCGTCTCCAGAGGAGCCCCTCGCCTCGCCCCGCGCGCCCCTCGCCGCGCCCGCCTCGCCTCCGCCGCCGAGCAGCCCAGCGCCCCGAGGGAGCTTGACAATGAGCTGGGCGCCCAAGCACGTTTTGCTGTGGACTCTCTTGCACTGCGCGGCTTGCCCGCTGGCGCGGGGTACAGGTAAGCCTCGCCTTTGCTTCGCTGCCTGGTCTCTGGTCTTCCGAAGCTTCCCCGCCTTGTGAACAAGGCACCAGGAGCCTATTATTATTATTATTAAAAGGCCAGGTTCATAGCACCACAGAATTGCAAAGGGACATGGGTGGCACTGTGGGTTAAACCACACAGCCTAGGACTTAGATCTCCCGTTGCTCGGTCCCTGCTCCTGCCAACCTAGCAGTTCGAAAGCACACCAGTGCAAGTAGATCAATAGGTACCACTCCGGCGGGAAGGTAGACAGCGTTTCCGTGCGCTGCTCTGGTTCGCCAGAAGCGGCTTAGTCGTGCTGGCCACATGACCCGGAAGCTGTACGCCGGCTCCCTCGGCCAATAAAGCAAGATGAGCACCGCAACCCCAGAGTTGGCCACAACTGGACCTAATGGTCAGGGGTCCCTTTACCTTTACCACAGAATTGCAAAGGGTTCCCCCAGGGTCATCTAGCCCAACCCCCAGCAATGCAGGAATCTTTCTCTCGAACCCACGACCCTGAGGTTTGGGAGTCTCGTGCTCTACCGACTGAGCTACGTCGTGTTTCTGGGGTGGGGGTGTTGATCTCCCTCCCCACCTCCTCCCAAAAAAGTTAAAACTTTTGGAATGGTTTTTCTTCTTTCCTGTTGCAAAGAGTGTTGTTTTGGAGGAAAGCATGCGTCTTCCCTCCCAACTTCTGTTCTTGCTTGAGGTGTGGTGCAGAAGTTTTCATCCTGATCTCAGGATATCTGGCAGGGAACAGATGTAGCCGTAGCCGCCACACCTGGCCTAGGATAAGCTGCTTGCAGCTGTGAAATCGGTGGGTTGTTTGCTCCTGGCATGATGGCAGGGCTTTTGGCAATGCAGAGGAAGGTTTGGGGTTCAAATCCCTGGAAATAGGGGAAGTGAGTCATGTTTTCTGAGTCACAATTCCCCAGAAAGTAAAGGATCCGAATTCCAGAACGCCAGTTCCCTTAATTTTGCAACTATAACCCAAGTGCGCCAAGAGACTAAGACATAGGCGCCGACTCCATGGGGCTTGAGGGGGCTGGAGCCCCCTCAAAAAATTTTTTGGGGGGGCTCAGCCCCCCCAATAATCTCGGGCGGGCGCCCTTCCAGCAGAGCGCCGCCGCCGTCCCCCGCCTCCTCCCCACCTGCTCCTTCGCCAGCCAGCCAGCCGCGCGCCCTAATCGGAGAGCCCCGGCCGGAAATCCCGCGAGAACAGGGGAATCCCGACTGGCCACACCTCCCAGCCAGCCAATCGGCTGGCTGGGGGGGCGTGGCTTGCCCTATTTAGGGCCGGAGCCACTTTATTTGCATATTCATGAGCTTATTTATTATTCATGAGCTTTCCCGGGCCCCCCCAATATTTTTTCTAAGTCCGCGTCCCTGGACTAAGAACTCCCTCGTTACAAACTTAAGGGTAAAGCGGCCGTGTGGCCTGTCACTAGCATACTTTTAAAAAATCCTGCACCTTCGTTTCTTCCTTCAGCTGGGTTAAAGCCGTTCGGAGTGTAAGCATGTGGTCGTACACAGTTTGCAGTAGTTTGGTGGCAACTTCATTTTAAAAACCGCTACGCTAAGCATCTGTAGAAGGAAGCAGTGTCTTTCCAAGTCACTTGATCAGTGTTTTGTGTCCAGGTTTTAAGTTGTCTCATGACTCCTTGTGTTAACACACAGGTTAACTTCTTCATTTTGCTTTCTGCCTTGTTCAAGTGTGGAGCTCTTCAGTCATTTAACACGCTTCAGTGCAGACTGTTAAACAGCAACAGCAACAACAACCACACTGAGGACTGATGTGCAAAGCCCTTTTACTGCAAAATCCTTTTCACTGGTTATTATGGGTACCAGTGCTGTCAGCTGATGATATAATCAGAGTAGCTAAGTTTCACAAAAGTTAACACACAGCTTAACTTCTCTCATCACAGCACACCTTTTTTAAAAACACTTTTGGACATCCTGGATGTTCTATTTTTACGTAGTCTGTTTAGTAGGTAGAAACAAGGTTGTACTCAAGGCTTTAGGCACATATTTTGGCCCTCAATTCCCATCAGCCTGAGCCAGCACAGCCAGTGGTTAGGAATGATGGGAGTTGTAGTGCAGCAACATCTGGAGGGCCAAATGTTCCCCAGCTGTGATCTGTAATTTTTGCCAAGAGCAGCTGCCCAGAAATCTCATGCTCCTTTAAAATGTACTGCCACTTCTCTCTCGCTTTTGGTCTCTTATTCCTGGAACTACCTCTATCCTTACGGATCCTTCCTCAAAACCCACTTGAAGCCTAAGGATACATAATTATATTTGAGCATATTCATTCCCAATTCCCTTGCACTTGCCTTGCACTTGTTCTCCTCTAGAATGTAAAGCTCTGTGGGATGGGGACTTGCCATTTTCACTTATTGTTAATGATGGAAAGTGACATGAACATTGTTGGTACCGTACGAAGTACAGTGGTACCTCGGGTTAAGTACTTAATTCGTTCCGGAGGTCTGTTCTTAACCTGAAACTGTTCTTAACCTGAAGCACCACTTTAGCTAATGGGGCCTCCTGCTGCCGCCGCGCCGCTAGAGCACGATTTCTATTCTTATCCTGAAGCAAAGTTCTTAACCTGAAGCACTATTTCTGGGTTAGCGGAGTGTGTAACCGGAAGCGTATTTAACCCGAGGTACCACTATATAATGTCCACTGGCAGATTTACTAGGGACTACTTCCCTGTATACTTTCTTTCTTTCTTTTTTTAAAAAAGCCATCCCATAGTAACATAACAAACAGGGTGATGCTTTTGTATTGTTTGCAAAATGATGGTTAGTGGAGGAAAAGGAGAGGTAAAAATACAGTGCTGGGAAGGAAACCTGTATATTAAGGTTATGCATCTTACCATTCAAATAGCTACCTATAGTGATATTAAGCATAAATATGCAGGATGCTTTAAAAAAAAAATCTGCTGATTTAAAGTGTTTTACTTACTGAGCATGTGTAAAATCAGTTTAACTATGTCACAGTACAGCATTTGTAGCATTTTATGTAAAGATCCTGCAAACACTTGCATAGCTTAGTACCGTGCAAAGTGTTAGCAAAATCTGTGCATTTGCTGAAAGGTTATGCAGATTATGATAATAATGGAATGTTCCTGTACTGTAATATAAAACTTGTACGATAGAAAAGAACGTAGGCATCGCCTATCTTGGAATAAGTACTCATGTTAGAAATTCTCCTTGCCTCCTTTCCAATGCAAGTCTTTGCATCACTTGAAAGCACAGTGGTACCTTGGCTTACGAACTTAATCCATTCTGGAAGTCCGTTCTTAAACCAAAACCGTTCTTAAACCGAGGTGCTCTTTCCCTAATGAGGCCTCCTGCTGCTGGTGCCCTTCCACCATTCAGCTTCCGTTCATAGACAGAAGTAAAGTTTGCTAACCGGAACACTACTTCCGGTTTTGCGGAGTTCATATACCAAATAGTTTATAAACAGGGCTGTTCTTAAACTGAGGCACCACTGTAAGGGGATCCTCTAGAGCAGGCACCCCCAAACTCGGCCCTCCAGCTGTTTTGGGACTACAACTCCCATCATCCCTAGCTAACAGGGCCAGTGGTCAGGGATGATGGGAACTGTAGTCCCAAAACAGCGGGAGGGCTGAGTTTGGGGATTCCTGCTCTAGAGCAACTTCCCTACAACCTAATGGCCTTGCTGGGTAGGCTGATGGGAACAGTAATCCAAAAAATTTGGAGAGTACCAGCTTGGGGAGGCTGCTCTAGAGCAGGAGCCGAGACAGCAGTAGCACTTTCTGCATTTATACACGGCTGTTTGGGTCGTGACCAGTGTTATCTGAGAGCTAGCACAATCATTAAGAGTGGTGACCTTGTATAACAACTTGGCGTTCTCTCTGAGTTTTATTTCTGCTGCGTTATATCTTAGGCTGAAAGAGAATAAAAGTTTTTGTCCAAGACATGCAAACGGTATACAGGCCCAGAAACTCCTGTTTGTGTGGCCCTGCAAGCAGGATCCGTTGCCATATTCACAGTCCCAAAGGGACTCTTGGCTAAATATGCATACTTTCCTTGTGATTTCTTCCTTTCACAATTAAATGGCATTGCCTTTATCACTATAGCTATGTTCACATGTCCCAGTAAACGACATTGTCATGTCGTCTGGACTGGCAATCTGTGTGGTTCGTGTTAATTTATGACGAGTTTCAAACAGGCCAGCGCCTAACCATGGTTTCTGAAGCTGTGTCCCTTAAACAAACTGTAGCTCCATGTCAGCCACAGTTCCTGGTTTTGGAGGGCATGGGAAGCTGTGATTGGCTAAAAGCAGATGGAAAAGCTCCAAAACTCCCCTTGAACACAGGGCAGGAGGGGAGATAGAGTGTGCAAGCCCAAGGCTTGTTCCTGCTCAAATCTGTGTGCTGCTAATGATCCCTCTTCATACTACCATGAATAGTTCGATTATAATTACCTTGGTGTATTCAGAATGACAATGCTTTTATTTTTATTACTTAATCTCTAATGAGCATTCTCAGGTACAGTATAAGACCACTGACCTAATTACTCAAAGCCAATTATTTCTTTTTTGCAAAGCACATTTTCCTGTACATACGACACAAGGGATATCTGCCAAGTTTATCTCTTTATCAATCACCACGATGAAGGCATGCAGCTGTGGCAAATGCAGCTTTTTGCAAGTGAAGAAAGTCCTCTGACAAGGATGCAGTTTGCCAAATATGACTTGCATGATACGGCACTAACATCACAAAAAATTGGGGGGAAACCGGACATTGATATTGCTCCCTCCCATCCTTCTGAATATATATCCTGCTTCTTAAATTTTGTTTGTACTGTTGAATTATGCCTGCTTTCAGTAACATACCCTCTGTCTCCCAGGTTGCACTGCGGAGTAGTATGCCCTCCCTGAACCTACTTACTTCTGAGTAGCATGTATAGGATTGCATTTTGCTTTGGCTGACTTGGAGTGAGTGAAAAGGGATTCTTTCTTGGGCAGGA